ATTGGTCAGCCGGTTAGCGCGGTCGATGCTAATAATAAAAGCACACACACGAACGTCGTGGCGAGGGACGCGTCTTGCTTCGATCTTGTCGCATTTCGTCCACCGACAACGCGGCGTGTCATAAATAAACAAGCTGTTCAGTTGGCGTTGAGTTTGACGTTTTGCCACAATCCAGGTCCAGGCGATAACGAGAGTTGAACTGCGTTAAACCAGTTTAGGCTGCTCTGCGAAAGGGCGCGTTGGAACAGCTGAGCGTGTGGTTTGATCATGCTCGCCGTTCTCCTCCTCCAATGACAGGCGACATGGAAACGGGTAACGTGACGAGTATATAGCAGTCCTCATGACCGATAGCGTACTCGCGGTGTTACTAGGAGACTTCCAGATCACCGTCAACATCACATTGGTGCGGTTAAACTAGGACCACCTCCAGTTGCAGGTCGGCACTATACCCCAGGCGGGCACCAACATCACGATATTCCGATGGAAGCTGTTGCAGATGACGAGCACGTTGCTCCCCTTTCCCACAAACTGGGCAAGTGCTGTCTTCGTTGGGAGGCCATGAAGGCGAGCAACAAAGACAGCGAGCACGGCTCCCTCTCTGTTCGACAACGCTACCCAAAAGGGGTTGGTTTGAGTAAAATTGCCAAATGTCGCGTGGCGACTCCCGGAGCCATGACCCTCCGTGTGCCGCGAGCTACCAATTGCTGTTCCCGCGTGACTCCGAACCAACGAATATACATTCGCTTATTTAGTCGACGATATCATTGGAACGGTCTCGTGTTGCAGCCCATGCCAGGTAGTCATGGAAGCATCAAGACCATTGGTGCATCAAGACCATTGGTAGCGCAGCTTGTGTCAGACAAGCGTGCTAGTCCTCGAAGAGATTTTCGTTGATGTTATCAGGTGGTGTCGATGTCATGATGCGGCTGTCATGAAAGTCACAGAGACGGTTAGTGATCGCTTACCACCCGATGTTTATAGGGATTACAGACGAGATAAGGACTCACATACACATTCCCTGAGTGCGAACTTCTAACATTGCTGCATCCTACAACACGTCCACGATCACAGGATGAATCTATTCGAAGTCGGGAATCCATCCAGAGCCATCAGACTCTGATTTGATCACCTCTTACCACGCTGGATCCTTGTGGCCAACGTGTTGCGCGCCTGAGTTACACCAGGTGACCGCGCAATTTTCGGTCGTTTACTGGGACTCCGGCAACTCGAAAGGTCGGCTATTTCGCCGTGCCTTTGCCCTTTTCCTTCAATTGTGAATCGTCACCGCCGCCATTTCTAACATCAGTCACAACCCAAACAAGTACCAGTCACAGAAGCGCACAATAGATGTCCTACTTCTTGGATCTAGACGGGTCTCGGGCCTTGGCTTCTGCGTAGTCTGAGAAGTGATCCCGAGTTCTGAAGTAGGTCCTATCCCTGCTCTCGACGTAGTCCTGGAAGTCCCTCGTGAAAACTGCATCGATTTTGCCGGGGAAGAAGGGCGGGGTTGAACGAGAGGTACGGAAGCACCTTTGGGGGGGAGTGCCCTTGCTGAAGGAAGTGCAATACGCGACCTTCATTGAAACTTTCATATGGTACTTTATGCTAGAACATAGCATACATTCGCAGACAAGCATGATGGTCGAGTTGTATCTCGACGAGTGTGACGACATTCGGAGGGGTGGTATCTATTACCCAATGCTCTACGTGTACCTCCCTGCAACAAGAAGTATTTTTGTGACAATTGAGCAGCACCGTGTACAGTTTTGTTGCGTTCGAAACCATGCTGCTCTGGATGATGCGGAAATAAATGTTGTGAAAAAATGTACGAATGTTAGGAGGTTTGATATTCGGTGCAATAGAAGCTTTCTTCTCCCACTTCTTCAGCTACCGTGCATGTTTCGACAACAACGAATGCGTGGCAATTCACAACACCTAGAACCAGACGAACGATGTTGCTCGATTTCGCGAGAGCGAGCAAAGACACACATCGAAGCATGCCAACCATGTGCATGCGTGTCCGAAGTTGGTGTAAACATACTTGCACAAGAAAGTAGTGCATGACGCTCCACATAACAAAGAATACTCTTCCATACAGACGGACAACGATCGAATACATCAACGCCTAAATCACAGAGGAAGGCCGTGTTCAATTTCGACCGCAGGCCGACGCAGTACTTGACGATAGACTATGTACCAGTGTGGTATCCTCTCTTCTCGCCTCACAACAAAAACACCTCTTGGCCATGCTTTGGTTGTGAGTTCAACCTCACCATGTGATTCCCGGGCCTCTGTAGCGCGACGCCCTGCCATGCGGCCCTGAAACCCGATCATCGCCGCCTGCCATTGGCATAGGAGAGACCCAAGTCGAAAAAGAGATCAACCGCTGAGCGTTCCATTGCATGCCAGAAGTAGAGAAGACGTGTGTCGTCGGGGATCGAACCATGACTGCAGGCAAAAAATTGTCATGATAGGATTTTTCGACTCGCCCTGAAATGTTTGACAAACTCGATGAAACGCCTGGCACGTGGGTCCTTTGGTCGAAACTCGTTTCATGGTAGCGGTGGTGGTAGAACGTCTCGCATCCCCCGAGATCGTTACAGGTTGTTACTGATTGAGCCCCCTGTGGTTGGCATGCAGAGATAAAACCACGCAACTCTTCGGGTATGTTTTGCTATCTTCCACCACGCCTGGGGTTATGTATTAGGGTGAGCGGAACAGCTTGTTGTCTACGCTCACGCACGGTGCTTGGTAAAAACGTGTTTGGTCGAAATTACCTTCATAACAGAGGGTAGCTAGCATGGAAGGCAGAACCCCGTCGTCGAACAAAATTTCGTTTAGATACGGCGGTGGTTTTTGGAAACTTCCCCCTCGGTCTCATTTGCTTTCCGTTCACCTTTGTTTCCGATCTTGAACGATATACTGATTGTTTTGGAGTCTACTGGCCTTCAAAGCGCAATCAACTGTTGCCTCGAGATCTAAACAGAATCGGGGCGGTGTATGGCGTTTGTGTCAGCCGGCACCAACCACCGAATATTTTTCTTGATGGAACTGCGCATGAAAACCAGTTGTCGTCCACATCGCTGCATTTGCGGCGCATCTGGAACGGATATAGTCTACTTGTCAAGCCTCGTACCTGAAGACATTATCGAGGCTAGCCTTCACAATATGTAGTCCAATATGGTCCTCACTCGGCTGTAGTGGACCCAAACTCTACACGAAATAGCTCACCATATCCGTCTTCTTCTTGACAACGACCGGCGTCATCTCGCAGTTTCCACCTGCTGGGTAATTTATGCCAAACAGGACCGAAGGGGGATCATGTCGGAGGAGTAAACTTCATTATGCATACAAGTATCTTCTCTCAATACATACCATAGATGGAGAGTCTACGATAACCCGCCCCATTTTTTAGAGCCTTCGCACGATCGCGCGGCACACACTGAACCTTCCAAGGTAGGTGCGACAATTCTGCCGCACTTGCTACGTAACGAACGACCGTGATTCTATTGACCACCACAGACGTGAAGCGGGCAGTTCAGACTACTGTAAGCTTCGGAGCGAAGAACTACACTACTACAATGAATACCGTAGACTACACTTTGTAGACCTCCCCGTCTTCGCTTCGCCTTCACCTTGCTTCGAGTGATCCGTATAGTCGCGTTGATTATTGCTGAGCCACACTTGATTGTCCTGCGTGGCAGCTACAGCGAACGGTGTGAGGAAGGTCGCTGATAGGTGCAGCTCCCGGAGGTCGTTTGCTTCTCTTTCGGCATCATCCGCCTGCGGCTGCTTCTGCTCCTCCTGTCCATTTGTCATATGTATTCAACTTGCCCAACTCGCAAGCAGCCTGCGTAAAACGCCAGAATGCGTAGCACCGTCCGCCGCCTGGCTCGATACCCAGTGGGATGACTGTGTAGATATGAAAATCAGTTGCAGGAGAGCGAGAGAGAATGCACGCGTGAGAGAGAGAGATTCCGGCAAGTGCCTCAAATCCTCAACGCGGCGTGAAAAACGAATTGATGGGCAGTTGGCCGAGCGAACCGACACCAGCTTCGCCGCACGCCACAGCTCCGCCAGTGCAGATGATTGTGAGGGTGTGCAAAGAAAGCACAGACCGGCGCCTCTCCTCATTGCCACGCGCATCGCCTGAGCAAACCTCATGACCAATGAAAAGGCCTCGATCACATCACGAGAGTTATGCGTGTTCCACTGTCAGTGGAATCGAAAACACGCTCTCGCTCCAGGCCCAAAAAGATGTAGTTTGTACTTACATTGTTTATTAGGAAATATGAAAACCAGGATAAAAGTATCTTCCTACGGGTAATGATGCACATGCGACCAGCAAAGACCGTCGGACTACATGAACAATGTTCCACCGTCCGAAGACGTTTGAGAGGAAAGATTCACAGAATACCGTGACTTTTCATGTGACTCTCGGAGATGGGGAGATGGAGGCACAAGCGCCCCACGTTCCTCACTCTCAAACCTTCCACCTTTCTTGAACTAGGCAAGCCGAGACTCTCGGCTACGCTTGGCAATTCCTCGCCACATTACAAGAAACGCGATTTTACCTCCGTTGGTGAACGGTTATTCACCACTCCAGGGACTCTTCCTCGCAACAGAGAGAGGTTAGACTATTCTCAGAAATAGAAATACAAACACAACGATTTATTTATTGGTTGGATCAGAGGATAGGTGATGTAGACTACTGGTGTAGTCTACTGCAGTACACAGGTTTGGACAAAGGAGGGGAAGATTGGGCATCGATCACAACTTGTGAAGGCTAGGGTGGGGAGATAGGCAGGACGGGATCGACCTTAAACACGTTGTTTGTCTATGCTGCCAGTCCGACATGTTTGTTGGGCTGTAGCGCCACTGCATACAATCAGAGATGCGGGATACCAGCCGACGTCGGCGTGCAAGCAACCTCTTCGCCCCAGGTTGTAGTCGGTGCCCAGCTTTCGCACAACCTGGCCTCTGGCTGCCCGTGTAACAGCTTCTATTAGTCAGAATACCCCTTACGCTTACTGCTGTGCTGCCACTCCCATTGGTGGGTACTGTAAGGGCCTCCTCATGTAATGATGGTGCCTTCTTGCAAGTCTTCGAGGCAGCGATCTCAATTTCCAGTAGCCTTGGCCTATGATCATGCACGGCGGCACAGAGGGGTGGATTTTCACGGCTCGGTTCGCGAATACTGCACGTTCGTTCGTACACCGCTCGATCTTTACGTTTGTTTCCGCATGTTGCTTTGATTGAAGTCGTTTGTTTGCAAATCTCAATCTTCCAACTGGACCCTTGCAACCAGCAGGCCACATTCTTCGTACTTCGTGGCAAGACAAAGTTACAACGAGAGCCATGAATGGGTAGAACACGTTCCTCCGTTTCGCGCTGCTGCTGGCGGGATTTGCGTTGAGCGACGAAAAAGTAGATGAGACAAATACTGGCCCAGCCTCCAGCGTGACCGCATATATTTCAGGTGGAGTGGTGTGGCTCTCCCACCCACCCATCTAAACTCATGCTCATCCGATCGATGCTAGTCTATCTCGTTGTCACATGCCGCCGGCATGAACACACGAGAGAGAACCATGCTTTGAAAAAAAACACTCCCGTGTCATATTGGAAGTTTCATTGATTGAAGCTGAAGGCAAGGATAAGTTCCAACCGCAACGAAGCTGCCGTCGACCACTCCACCATCCCGGACCATCCATACACACAAGCGCCATTGCCACCCCATCAGCACGGCGAGACACCTCCCGTTGTACCCAGAAACAAATGTCCTGCCGGTGCAATAATGCTTCACACCTGGACAACAAGCAAAAAACAAATCATGAACCATCACCTGCACTGGCGTGTACATCGTTTTTCTGCACGGGGGTCGCGGTATTTTACTGCCAAGACCGCGAACACACCCCCACCCTGTGCGTGGGTGCGTGCGCATACATGCTTCCAGACGCCGGCACCCCAAAAGCAACCCCCTACGCGTGCAACACGCTTCTGTCCGAGAGCCCTACATGGAACAAAGCCCTACTGCCGACATCAAAAACCCTTGTTGCAATCGACGGAACGGGACACCATGCCCAACGGGGACCCAACACACCGGGGGCAAGGAACAGCGCCGCCTCCCTTCCTTGTATACAACATAGAAACGAAGGAATCGGGAGCTCCATCAGTCGACCAGAGTTTGTTCGAAACAAGACGGGGGCAACTATCACGATTACAACAACACTTCCGAACCACTCGAGACAGCAGTAGCCCGCCCCCAGGATTTCCAATAAGCACAAAACAGTTAGCCGATACGACCCCCAACACATGCCCGCCTCCACACTGAACATCAACCCCCCGACTGCTGTGTCCAATCAGACCCCCCCCCCCCCGCAAATCGACCCGGAACACCCAGGGTGAGGGCAAGACGAACAAGAAAGTAAACAACAACGCGACATCCGTTCGTAGTGTGACCCACTTTTTCCAAAAATTGAATCACGCGAGTTGGAGGCTATCCCCAACAAATGATAAAACTGACACGTGTCTACTTGTACCGCCTTGGGAACTGCGGATCCCCTCTCCAGAGGACCCCAGAGAACCGGAAACGACACCGTTGCAGAGGACTGTACAGGATACACAGGTAGACGTCCGGTTTTCCCCCCTGCCCTCTCTCCGAAGTAGGCCATTTTACGCGAGTACACTGGTGACGCTTGAGCGTCCGAAGGGCTCGATGGACTCATGGGATGGGAAAAAATTACTGGAGAACTACTGATTGCGGCGTTTTCTGAGCCTCGAAATAGACAAACGAAAGGGAAAAACTCCCCAGAAACACGCGGTGGTTCGCACGCGAGGACACGATCAGAGCGGGCTGATCAACCCATCATTTCCATCACACAGAAGCACCGCGCTAATTTACAGGCACCATGTAGCCGACAACCCCCGCGGCAAGTGGTGCTCCCACCCCAGCTGAGAATAAATTTCTCTCTTTCTCTACGACAAAGAGTCACCGAGTCATAACAATCATTTCAAAAAAATGGTCAACCGTACTTCCAAAAGCCGGCTAATTCTCGGGCCGAGGTCGAAAAGACGAACCGACGGACGGGGTACAGTACGTGGGAAGACTGACGACGGTAGTAGTATAGTCTCCTTGTACGGCTACCCAGCGCTTGGACGACACACGCAAACCAATTCCGGGAGAGCGAGTGATGGCGGGACAACAGCGAAAAGGTCGTTTCAGGATCAAATCCGTCTCCTTCGTGTCCCCTTTTACCCCTGTTGCACCTCGATTGAAACGCCCGCACATGCAGTCGGTCAGCCTGGAGAAAAATAATCTCGGTCCTGCGAGGGTA